CTTTCAGTGACTGTCTTAAACTTGTGCTAACAGTTGGGTTTAGTTATTCAAATCTAATTCCTCACTTGGTATCTGCTGTCTTTTTTTCCTGTTTTTCAGTTTTCTTTTTTTCTTTTCTTTCTTTCCTTTTTTCCCCTAGCAACCTTTCTGGAAATTCTTAGTTGCTTTATAGAACAGCACACTATTTCAAACACTGAACTTGTAATAATATCCAGCAACGGATATTTGTCTTGTGGCATAATAGAAGTCATATTTAATAAACGTGTTCATTTTTTTCGGGGTATTTCCTGAACTAAGTTTTGTGTTATACTGATTTAAAGCTAAAATCCTAAGTAAATACCAACTGTAACACTGTATTGAGTTCTTGGTATAATGCTGTGGTAGTGGAAGTTTAATGTAAATACAGGCTGTCTTTTTGATTCTTGTATATAATTTGGTTCCTGTATAGTTTAAGAACATTTTAGTCACACATTTCTAATCATGGGTAGGTTAGCTACAGTAGCTTAACGTTTCCAGTGGATGTCTGGGGTTTCAGCAGGGAACAGGTTACGGGGAGGGAGGGGGGAACCTAACTGTGTGCACTTTTAGATGTTAATTACATTTGCGGGCAAATAACTGTAATGCAAATGGTACTGGAGAAATACTGAGTGTGCTTGCTAAATTGTTAATGCACTACAAGAGGAGCCTTTTAGGTTATTTAATATGTACAGGATACATTAGAAAAATGTATTATGAATTCTAACATCTACAAATAGTGAAATTCATGTTTTGATAGATAGATGTTTGATGGAATCCATGATGCTAAATTTAAGAATTTCTTTTTACATTAATGTAGAATAATTTGTAAAATTGGTTTTGAAAGATTTTGTTACAGGGAGCATGGTCTGCTGAAGATTTTTTTAAATGTATTTTTCTAGACTAACTGCTGTATCTGACATATTTGTTATGTCTAACATGAATAAAGAGAACCGTTAGTTCTTTTGGAGTCTGCCATTCCCCCTTCAGACAACATGAGCCCCCTTAAAACAGTAAGAGCGATGCAGTAAGATGCTTAGCGTGGATACCACTTGTGGCAAAGAGTTGTCACACTGGATTAAAAGACGAATGCTTACTTTATAACCTGGCAATTTCAGGAACTTCCCAGTCCCTTTGTTTAACAACTTAAATTCTAACATAAGGTTCAGAGAGGGCAGAAGTAATTTATGGACATAAATTTGCAGTCTTACTGCCAACTTACTTGGAACCTTCTGTACAGAAATCAGATGCACCGGGGAAACTACTGTATTTTGCCTTTGCTCTGTTGTGTACCTTCCACAGCACGGTTCTGGCTTACAGCAAAGGGGATGTGTGGTGAAGTACTAAGGCGTAATCAGATGAATGGTACGAGAATTTCACGAGCATAGGGCGTGCATGAAAAGTCTCCGGAGATAAAAGAGAAGATGAGTTACCTTGTGGCTTTCTCACTGTCTTCTTGTGGTAATGGTGAAGTCTTGTGGTTTGTTGCGAAGCGACCTGGGTGAGAATTGCGATAGCTCTGTCTCGGCGCGGTGTCGTCAGCCTCCCGGTAGGCTGTCACAGCAGAGCAGTGCCGAGTGGCAGGTGTGCCCCAAGCTACCAGAAAATCTCAACAAAGTTGAAATCTGTTGCTGTAGATTATTCAAATCCCAACTTTAGCAGTGGGAATTTTTCTTTATTTGACAGCTGAATGAGAGGGCTTATCCACAGCTCACCTTTTCTGTATGAGTGTGTTACCTTTTTCAAAGAACGAATGCCTTTTTAAAACAATTTGATAATGAGGATGTCACACTTTTCCTTGTATTTTCCCCCAAATAAAGCATTTTGTTATTACAATATATAGTACAGTTTTGTGCAGTGAAGTTGTTGGATGTTTTAGTGTTCTCATTTTTAGTTTGGGGAGGGGAAGGTATTCTTTTTAATTGAAAGAGGTGTAGCTAAACACAGGAAACATCCAGGGAAGGGGAGGCTGTCCGAGCTGACGGTGTGCTTGTCATGACCAGCTTGAAACTCTCTATGTCGGCACATCGGGTTTCTTTACTACTTGAAATAGCTTTTCTTGTTCCTTCTCTTAAAAAATCAAAACCAGATTTTTGCACAGACACAGCAGGGGAAAGGTATTTGTATTAGATGAAACATAATTAAATTTATATATTCCTCAGTTTGGGCTTTAAATCAGATTTGGTTCTGGTTTAAAATCAATTTAAAGACTGAATATAAACTTTTGCAGCCATCTCCACTCAAAGGTACTGGAGGCCCAATATTATGTATTGGTGCCAGCTGAAATTTCGTTCCAGCACTAGAGCCGTGTTCAGCTCTATAGTTCAGCTACAGGGAGTCAGCACCAAGCACCTCTCAGTCGTGCTTGATCTATACCAGTTACCGCTTTCTTCACTTTAAAGCTGGAGAGAGAAGTGGATGCAAAAAAGACAAGGTGAATATACACAGTCATTTCATGTAAACTTTTTTTTTAAATTGGAGTTGCATGTAAATAAAGCTTCCTGCGTGCAAGTGGTCACGCTTGCTGCTCAGGCCCAGACTTTCCTCCCCATCTTCACAGAAAGCCAGGATAAATTCCCTTTGTACTGAACCCATTGTATCCTGGCAAGTGAATCCTCGACTTGCAGCGTGCGAGAGAAGGGAGTTTGTAGGTAATACAGCAGCGATTTATTCCTAGGTGGAGCCCTGACTTTCTCCCCTTAAAGGGAATGACTTTATTTAGCCCCAAAGTAATGATATTTTCGGAATCAATTGGGTAATTCATAAGCCCATACCGTAAGCCAGGCACAGTGGGGCATTCTGCTGGGCGAAGGGGAGGTACAGCATGTCTAATGAGGCCGCCTGCAACCGCCGGGGAGAGGAGAGCTCCTCTGAAGAATCTTAATTAGCCTCCACAATTGCAAAGTTTTGTGGGCAAGCAGCTGGTAGGACTGGATCAGACCTTTACAAAAGTAGCCCTATGCGACTGTGGGACTTAAATGAACATTTTCTCCCCCCCACCCCCCCTCCCAGCATTTTTTTAAACAGAGCACTTGTAAAACAAGATCACACTGTGTAACAAACCAACATGAAAGACATTCGGAGGCGACTTGGCCTCTTGGTCCTTTTTATTGCCTTGAGAATTAAATGGCAGCTCTAATATTAGAGTTCCCTACAAGTTCCCCGATTGGATTCGAGTTTGTTAAGGTACTTAGCTCCTCCTTTCTTTCAAAAGAAGAAACCTGTGTTGCATTTGGCAAACTTGGGAACTGCAAAGTGGATCGAGCAGCGATAGCACCAGGTTTAGCACCAGGTTTATTTCTCTCAGAACCTCATCTTGCAGCTTACTGTGCTAAAATGTAGGTGGCTAGGGAGGGGGGAGGGCAGAGCCTAGTGTGGGAATAAGTAAATGCAAAACACTGAAGGCAACCAGACAAAGCAGGTGTGATGGACAAGCAAGATGGCAAAGAAACAGTCAATGAGAAAATCTGCAGCAATCCAGGCCAGAGACCTGGGAGAAAGCCAGGCTGCCAAGTGTGGGGTTTTGGTTGTGGGGTTTTTTTTTTCTCTTTATCTGCTTTTTCCACTTCATACAATGCAGATGAAGGCCTGGCTCTGTTTCATAAGGGTAAGTTGCTCTGTAAACAGGTGGGGTTCAAGTGACATCGCAAACTGGACTCTTCCCAGGGCGGCTCCCGTGTGTCGGCTCCCCCGCGACGAGCTTGTGTCCAGGTTCGCTTGACACAAACACCTGAGTGCTGATGGGCATCGAGAGCTATGTTCCTTCAATGTAATCATGAATACCAACAAGCATCTGCAATACAAAAATAAAAATAAGCTCATTCTCAGTTTGGCAGCAGCATGCTGGTAGCACTGCGTGCCCCATGTGAGAGCCGAACCTTGTGGCAGCAGATCCCGAGGATGGTGGGTAGCCCGGTCTGTTACAATCTCAGCGCAGCAGAAGAAAGAAATGTGTGAAGCTGAAAAGTGGGGGTATGCATTAAAAAACAAAAAACCCAAGCTAAACTATCTTCACAACCAGTTTAGATTTGCATGTATGGTACAAATCTGCTCAGAATAGTTTGTTAATTCATAGTGTGAAAGGAACAGCTGTCCTCTAAAAAAATAAATACCATAATTAAAAGCTGTCATTTTTTTTTTTATCAGGCATTGGAAGATAAATGTTAAGCATTGCTCAGCTTGTCTAACTCATCCTGTGCTGCAGCCAAATGGCTGGAACCAACATGCTGGTGGTGGGTTACCTGGCCACCAACAGCCTGGTGCTCTCTGCCTTTTCTTCACCAAGAGTGATGCTGAGCTGGTGGTGGCTTGTTGGCTTTCTGTGGGTGAGTGTCCTGCCTAGCTACTTGTTCCAGTAAAAGGAGGTACCTAACCTAGAAACAGAACTGAAACCCACCTTTTTCCCCGGAAAAACTTCCCTATCGACCTGGGCTGGGCAGCGCTCTGTCTGCAGGCACTTCAGCAGCACAGGGCTGCTGCCGAGCTGGGCTGCGGGCGTCCTCTCCCCCAGGGCTGAGCCAGCGCATCTTCTGTGGCCCCTGCCAACGCACACGAGTGACCTGCTCAAGGCCACGGCTTCCTTCCACGAAGGAAAACGGAGATGCGGTTGTGCAAGAGGTAGAGCCTCTCCTCTGGCACTCCCTTCCAGCACCGCCTACAGCAAAGGATGCCGCCGTATTTCCCGCTATGAAACAGCTGGTTTGTAGCCGAAGTGCTGTTCTTGCCGGTACACTAGCCCTGCTCTAAGTTTTTTCTTTGAGGTTTTAAAGATAAGACTTTTTTTCCTATTAATCTCTCCTTTTCCCGCATCCACCCACCTGCTATTCCCGCTGCACTGAAAGTCAATACGACTTGGACCGTTTGCTTCCTTATTTGTACAACAGCCTGGAGCCCAGGGGCTGGAATGTGCTGTGCTCTGCCTGGAGCGCTGCTTCGCCTGCGGA